GGCAGTGACAAGACCATCTCTTCTTGTTCTGTTGGCCTGTAAGTACCCCAGAGACACATACTAAAGGTTGCTTTGAACTCTTCACAACTTTATCTTCATTTCTTATTATCCTTTTTGTAACATGTCCATTTAATATATTTAATAATACTTGTTTGTTGAAATTCCATCTTTTTTGTCTCTTATTTTGCCCAGACTCACATGAGTCCACCAAAATAGTTTGTGGGACAAATGTACCCGGAGCTATTAAAAATTTACTGAAAAACCTCCACACCTCACAACAAAAGTGGTGATTCCTACAACAGTATTAAAAAAACAAAGTTGGCAAAATTTTCAGGTTATATTTCTATGAGCTATATATCACGCTTATAATATCTGAAAATATTATTGGTTGGTTAAAACCAATTTTATTGTGTAATCTGAAATAAAAAATTTGACAGAACATATGGATCAGTTTCTCTTGATTGCTATTTTACAAGAGAAAGTAAAAAATGTTATGGTGAAGTTTGGATAATTTTTGACTTGCCCTCTTAAGTTCAATGGGACAAATTTCATGCTTTTACTGAATAACAGCCATACTTTGAAATTGTGTTTGTCATTAATTTTGTCTTTCTATAGCTAATTTGTTTTCAAGAATGCCACTCAAAACAGGTATATAATAAATTCAAAAGACCAGTTTCTGTTTAATAACAATGGTAAACTTTCAACTCTGAATTCAAAACTGCATGTAGCCCTTGTGAAGCACAAACTATGCAGTTAAGGAAAGGAACATTTGCATCGACTTGATGGTCCTGACTCTCTATATAAGAAAAATAAAAACATTAAGGAGTAAGAAATCTGTTGTTAGAATTTTCATTTCTTTTTAAACCTAAATCAATCAAATTCAAAATTATATTCAGTCTATCTGATTTTCTGAGATGAAGAGTTATCATTATGACAATATTTCGGCCATTGCAAATTCTGGCCTTCTTCAGGTGTTTGGGTCACCTTCAGGGAATTTAAAACTGAACCCTATATTTAATCTACAGGGGAGATTGATCTCATTTCGCTTTCTATGTATTGATTTATCACATCATATTCATCAATGCTTCAGTAGTAGCAATAAAATAAGTGGTGGCTAAGGAGGTTGAATTCAAATTGGGTTCATTATATTCACTTAACTGCAAATACCCTTGAGAAAGGTAGAATTCACTTTTCCTCCTCCCAGCTATGGGTTAACTAGTAAGACGTATATCAGAAAATCATTATTATCCCCAAAAATTTTTTACAACCCAAAATATGTTTCAGCTTTGAATAACCTCAAAAAGGTCTGATAAGCTGTAAAAAACTAATCAATCAATCATTATAATTACTATTAGAAAATTGCAAATAATTTGCCAAATTGTTAATAGCAACTCATTAGTTTGTCAGAATCATGGTGTGAAATTGGTCAATATTGGTCAGTAGTTGATATTGGTGGCCATATTGCTCATTTCACATGATTAATGGATTTTTAAATTTCACAGATCAATTATAACCACTCCCCTATGGAATCAAAAAAGATGTTGTTCAATGTTAACTGAAAAAAGCACACAAGTTTTGGCTCTATTATCTATATACTGCACATAAAAAACTAGCCCCCAAACTTCAAGAAATGGTCAATGGTCCTACTAAAATTCCAGCATGGTTAACCAAAGGAATTACCTTCCTTCTACCTAAGAATGGTGACACAAATGCTCCAAAAAACTACAGACCAATTACATGTCTTCCCACTACTTGCAATCTAATGACATTTATTCTGTCTCAGTACTGTCTTGATTGATTACGGTAAGGCATTCAATAGTGTACCCCATTCTTGGATCTTAAAGTCTTTAAATATATACAAGCTATTACCTGTCATCATCAATTTCATCAAACAAAGTATGTTGATATGGAAAACAACACTTCACTTTAATTATATAAATAGAGTCTATAAGTCTGATGAAATAAACATTAACAGAGGAATATTTCAAGATGAATCTTTGTCTCCTTTACTAATTTGCATATTCCTAATAGCATTAACCAGTGAACTTGACAGGAAGGAATATGGTTATAAGATATCTTAAAAGAAAATGAACTATTTTACATGGATAACTTAAAGTTGTATTCTAGGAATGGTAGTGAGCTGAAAGGTCTCCTGAAAACTGTAAAATGTTTCAGTAATGACATTGAAATGGAATGTGCTAAAGTGACAATTTTACAAGGATCACTACTACAAACCTCCTCTATTAACTTAGACCCAGGGGTAAAAAGTCAAAGATTTAGTGCAAGAAGGAGCTTATAAGTACCTTGGTGTAAATAAGGGTGAAAGAATTCATCATAAAAAATGAAAGAAATAGTATGAAAAGAGTACTATAGAAGTGTGCGACTGATATTAAGAACTGAATTGAATTCTCAGAACAGAATTATGGCCATCAATAGCCTTGCCATCCCAATGGTTCAATATAGTTTAAACATTTTGAACTGGACTCTATGTGATATCAAACAAATGAATTCTAAGACAAAAATTTTTTTTCTAAGCATAACATGCATCCTCTAAATGCTGATTCAGACCATCTAAACATACCCATAAAGAAGAACGTGAAAGAGGTCTTATTCAGTTAGAATTGTTATACAAGACAACAACTATTGACTTAAGTAGATACATAGAAACAACAAAGGACTGGATAATACAATTAGTCAAAATAAAAAAATATTCAGTCATGAAAGAAGGTCGTAAATACAAACAAGATTTATATTTAGTAGATTCTGTAGAAAACTAAAACAGAACCCCAAAACCAACTGTTGCAGCAAAAATTATGAAAAAGAAAGACAAGGATAAATCTCTTGAACAGATGAAACAAAACTGGCAAGATAAACCTCTACATCATACTTATTATAAAACCCAGGTTGTGTGTGTGTGTCTGTACGTTTATATATGGGATCGGATTTCCTACATTTTTCAACCGATTTCAACAAAACTTCACGGGACTACGTAAAATTACCTTGTGGTGGTTCTGATAGCACCAAAAATTGGAAAAACACAATTGTTTTTGCACGAAATCAATTTGAAAACACGATTAAGAGGCATTGCTTTCACGGAATGAAAGGGGGACAACTCATATCGAGTTATACTTATTATAAAATCCAGGTTGGTTGTTTGTGTGTGTGTGTGTGCGTGTGTGTGTGTGTGTGTGTGTGTGTTCGTTTATATATGGGATCAGATTTCCTACATTTTTCAACCAATTTCAACAAAACTTCACTTTTTTTTTGGCAGGTAGTGTTTCTTATTGTCTTGCACACTTTTTTCTTTATTTTTACATTCAGAATGCTTTAAAAATTCCATTTACAAGACAATTGTTTATAATAAAATTCTATTCAATCGGTAGAGACTCATAACAATTGAAAACAATGTTTTTGTTTGAGTTTGAGTTTGACCAATTTGTAAAAAAAAAAAAAAACTAATTAAGACATGCATGTCAGTCAACCTTAAACAATAATCTTTGTCAATTTTATTTTTCAGTCTTTATGATGGTCGATACTTGATCTATCTCTTACTGTTACATCCCCGGGCAACACCGGGCTCTACTGCTAGTAGCCAATATGCAGAACGTGCTAATAAAGCTGATGTTAACACTCATTGATGGTTATGAACATCTGGATTAAAGCCTGAAACAGAAAGCTTTATTCTTGCAGAGACCACAGTCTTTTCACTAGTAACTTTCAGGCAAATATTATACATAATAATATAGATCTAAAATGAAGGTTCTATGACAAATATTAGGAAACCATAGACCAGTGAATCTCAGGATGTTCTATACTTGCATCAAATGAATATAAAAATCACCACAATAGATTGAGGTAATACTACATTGGACAATGAATGATGTACACTGGATGATGTTAAGAGTGTGTCTAGATTAGGGGGCTGACACCTAATATGAAGTGGCTTCTTGCTGAATATGTTTCTAAATGTTTGGTCATGTTTTAAATATTGGAAATCTTTTGTTAGGATGTAGGAAAGCTTGTGAATGTTGTAATTAAAGTAAAAAAAAAAAAACATGTGAATTCTGTAATTATTCTTTTTTGTTTCATAGGTTAGGAGAGTCTTTCGTTTTTATTTGGAAGCCTTAGTAATTAATTTTTTGATAATTTTAAGTTTAGGTAATTCCTATTGAGAAAGTAATTGAAGAGTTGTCCTAGGTGTCCTAACCCTGAACAGATTTATATATATATATATATAAACAAATGTTTGGAGGTACAAAATTTATAAATAGTTTTAAAAACAAGGAAACCATTGATTTTAATTTTAAAAGTCTCTAGGGCCCTTTCTGTCCCTCGCTAATTTATTTACATGATTTCCCCTTCCCTCGTTACAAGTATATATACGTGTTCGTTATTTTAGTGTGTTTCCCCCTCTTTTTTTTGCTCTTCAATATCGTTAATATTCTTTTCGCTAATCCAACGATTGTCTCCTGATGAGATGTTGGCTGAAAGGGCCCTAGAGACTTTTAAAATTAAAATATATATATATATATATATATATATATATATATATATATATAAAAAACATAATATTTTTATTGTATTAGTTTGTTTTTCTTGTTTATTTTTATACATTTCAACATTTGGGGGAGGTGGAACACAATTGCTAGAAGAAAATGGTTGTGTGCCAACTTTGTATATAGATCACTGAATAATATTTTTATAAAAACGTGTGGGATGGGAAGAATAAAATGTCTGGTCGTCACCTTTCCCTAAACATAAGCAATGAGGGTAAGGGAAGAAAGGATAGGATGCTGGGCGGGAATCGTACAATATGTATTGGTAAAGTCAGATGGCAAAGGGGTGCCAGTTTTTCATTGGGTGGAATCGGTTGTTAGGGAATGAACTGAACTTTAGGAATGGCTTTTTCTTGACTGGCATCATTCTTAAGAACTGATGCATGGTGGATTCTTTGATCATGATTCTATCCGCCACTCTTTTCTTGTAGCAGGAATCTATTCATGTATAAAGATATAGGAACCATATCTATCTATCTATCTATCTATCTATCTATCTATCTCAAGCTGTTCATATCTCTCTCTGTCTGTCTGTCTGTCTGTCTGTCTGTCTGTCTGTCTCTCTCTCTCTATATATATATATATATATATATAGAGAGAGAGAGAGGGTGTATCAAAAAATCTACAGACATTTTTTATTTCATTGTCAGTTTTAATATTTATAAATGTGCATTTAATTTCATTTAATACTTAATTTAATTTAAATCAGTAATCTTGTTTGCAAGTCAATAAACTGTCATTTAAAGAGTGAGTAAATATTTTGGGGCACCCTGTATATATATATATATATATATATATATATCAGTTCGAATCAAATAGAAATTAGAATCTGACAGAATGTTAGGATAAAGAAGAAATAGCAAACGTTTATCAATCTAACATGTTTCACTTTTATCAAAGTTTCATCAGAGAATGAGATATGGAGAAAAAGATGAAAGAAATTCTGTTAGCTTTACTTTTGTGTTGTTTAATTTTCATTGGTTAATCATGTTTCATGTGCATTGAACTTGTTAAACAAATGTTATCATAATTTGTGGCACTCCGAATTCAAGGAGAGACAAGGAGGAAATTTGAATGGTCATGCCAGCTCTCCTTGAATTTTTACACACTTTATGTCCAGAAAAGAAAACACTTATATGAATACAAGAAAAATTAAATAAAAAGCTTAATCACAGTAGCTTGTCAGTCGTCTTCAATGAAACTTATATATATATATATATATATATATATATAGTATTACACAACAAAATTCATAATTACCTGATATGGGGAATAGATTTATTTCAACCAATGAAAACTTTGTCACTCTTATTTAAACCCGGTGTATAGAATGAGTTTGTGTCGGAATTAAAAATTTAACTGACAGCCGTTGAAAAATTAATACAAAATTTATCCATTTCAATGTTTCAGTCAGACGAAATGCATGAGATGGTGGTCAGGGGAGAGTGGAAGATATTCGCCTTAAAGGGAAGAGGTTTTATAAAATTAAACCTGGATATTAACCTTATGACATTAAATTGGGGTTATATGTAGAATGAAGTGCTAATTTTAAACTAAAAGTGAACCAAAAAGGTTGAGTTTATAAATACAAGTTCCTACTTAAAAATACTCTTCCAAAGATAAATTATACTTAAAAATAAGATATATTTAAAAAATTAAAAATAAGTCATATTTAGATAATTTATATTAAATTTATAAGTAAGAATCTGTTTTAAAAATTGTTATATTAAAGAATAAAAAACATATTTAAAAATAAAAATAAAATAAAATAAATTATACTTTAGAAAAAAAAATTAAAGGTAAGTTAAATCAAAAAAACAAGTTATATTAAAAATACAACAATACAATAATATATTTAAAAAAAATTAAAAAATATAGATAAATAGGTGTAAGTGATATAAAGAAAGGGAATTCTTAGAACAGGGGTCAATTATAAAATATAATTAATATGGTGAAAAAATGTAAATATAGAAATTAGAAATAGTTATATATTCAACATTTGAAGAGGGGGAGAATTATAAGGTAATAAAATAAAATCCATATTATGGAAATTTAAATTGTTTTTATGTTGACATTTTAAAACTAATTCATTCCTTTGATTCAATAGTTTGCCTTGATTATAGTATTTTATTATAATAAATACATTGAGCTCTTTTTCTGGATCAGTTTTAATATTTTATATTACGAGGATCCACTTGGATTATATACCAATGGATATATATGTGTGTGTGTGTGCATATATATATATATATATATATATATATATATATATATGCAGGTTTCATTGAAGATGACTGACAAGGCACTTCAAATAAGTTTTTATATTTTTCTTGCTTGTGTACAAGAGATTTCTCTTTTGGAGATAGAGTGTATAAGAACTGTGTAAATAGTACTTTCAGCTAATCTATTAGGCATTATCAAGAATTTTTTTTTGTCTTAATATGTAAATTGTGATGATAATTTTTAGCAGTGGAAATGTTTTAATTCCCAAATACAGTTAGCACATTGTGGACATACTCACAATTAATATTTCTTGATTTTATTATTAAAGCTTCCATTATTTGTGTTTTCTGCAGTTAGATGAATTTATTATGTTGATGTTTTCTATGAGTATTTGGCAGATAGAGATTGGTAGCTCTCTATGTGTACTTAAATGGATCCTAATGGAGAATTTAAGAAATGCAAAGTAAGTCTTATTGATAGGCATGTAGTTGTGTATCCAGTGTAATTATTATTCATGGATTTGTTTTTTATCAGTAATACTTTTCTGTAAGGGGCATGTAGATACATAAATAATGCTTTCTTTTACTAATGTTCACCCGATACAAGGCCCAAGAGCCACTTAATGTAGAGGATTACTGTGTGGTATTGTATGAGTTTAAGAAAGAACAAAATAACAGGAAAATAGCTAATTCTAGACTTGCAGAGATCAATGTTTAATTAGGCAATAAAATTTCAGAGTTCAGGTTGAGATGTTAGGAGTATAGAGTTGAAGTAAACTTTATAAGGAACTGGAAACCTAGTTCTAAACAGGAAACAAGGGATGAACCTCTACTCCAGTTAATAAGACCAGAGAAGATTGTGAACAAGATGATAGGTAAACCTATCTACTATACTTGGTCTATCTACTACTTGTACCAATATATTTTTAATCATAATATAGATTCTGTATAAGAATGACAAGAAGCAAAAATGTAATTAAAATCTAACCTGAATTTTAGATACTGCTGTGGAATTGAAAGAATTATGTCCCCAAAGTAATTACATGCTGTGTTTTTTTTTTTGTGGGCAAAGAAAAGGCATTTATTGTCACTTTGACATCAAAGGGAAAATAGAGCAAGCCTTTCAAAAATCGACAGCTGTTAAGTAGCCATCAGCTCCATGAGGACAGTAGTAGCAGCAGTTTACCTGAACTCTACACAATATGTTGCTGTGGGATGTAAAAGAAAGAAAAATATCAAAATGAGTGTCATGTCCTTTCCCAGTGTGTCTTTTTAAATGTAACCAGGAGATTGTCACCACTTTTATTGCAGAATGAAAAGAATTATCATTTTATGACATCTGGTATTCTTTGTCCCACAAGCAACATTTTGCAGTCTCATGTGAGTCCGGGTAATAAAGATGCAAGATATGGAATTTAAACAAACAACTGTTAATAAATGTATTTAAAAAATGTGTACAGAAATGTAAGAAAAAAAATGAACATCATCAATGCAGGATCTGTCTCTATTTCTGAGATGAGCTCTTGTAACTATTTACACTATTTACATTGTTCAGGCTGTTGTCCTCATCTTTATTGTCATATTCACAATGTTTCAGCCATTGTACACTCTGGCCTTCTTCAGAATCTGTTCCCATTTCTGAGAGGAGCTCTTGTAACTATTTATACTATTTACATTGTTCAGACTGTTGTCCCTATCTTTATTGTCATATTCACAATGTTTCAGCCATTGTACACTCTGGCCTTCTTCAGGATATGTCTCTATTTCTGAGAGGAGCTCTTGTAACTATTTATACTATTTACATTGTTCAGGCTGTTGTCCTCATCTTTATTGTCATATTCACAATGTTTCAGCCATTGTACACTCTGGCCTTCTTACAAAAAATATTACCTGAAAAAGGCTGAAGTATACAATGGATGAAATGTCATAAATATGGTAATAAAAATGAGGACAACTTTTTGAACAATGTAAATTGTGTAAATAATCAGTGCCATTATTGATAATTCAATGTCATCTTCAGTTGATGTCTCTGAAATACCACATACTTTTTACAGGAGGAAGAAAAGTCATATATTGTCACTCCAAAGGAAAAATTTCATTCAGGGTCGGTAATCCGATATAAACTGATCAGCCCACCTAAACAAGAATACTGATATAGTGCTGATCTTACCCAGAACATACTTTGCACTTGTTATGTTCTGCTGCTAACTAGATCTCTTTTTGTTTCATTCTACATTTGAACACTAAGACAGTAAAACCAAAAATTAAAAAAAGTTGTAGAGGGGCTTTGAGTATCACTTCCAGTTCACAAAACAAAACTCCACACAAAAAATATAAAATACAATATACAGAAACCTATCATAAGCATTGCTGCCAAAGAGAAAAAAAGTAAAAAAAGTATTAATATACAATGAATGGAAACAAAGATGTCTGCTCAGGATCAATTATATTACAGACCCTTCTTACAACATAACTGATAACATTTAATTTGCATAACAATTTTTAAAAAAAAAACATATTTTAATAAATATTTTATCTGTGTTATTTATTTTTAATTCTAATTTTTAAAATTGACATATATAAGAAATGTTTCTGTTGATAATTTTTTTTTATTTATTGTGTTGGTCCTGAAAGAATTTATTTCTGCCTTTGAAAATTCAGTCATAAGTTAGAAAACTCACTGCATTCATAATAAGCATTGTTGTTGTTTGATATTTCACATTACTTCAAATTAGTTAAACCATAAAAAAAATTATGGAATTATCTAAGTAAGTAAAAAATAATCTGTTTAATGCAGTCAGTTATGTGCCATGTGGTATACACATGTACGCATTCATGTATCTTTCAATACATGACTGACCAGGCAGATTTTTTTCCCACAGTAGGTTGTCATTTCTTTCTGCAATAGACCAGTTGCCATCTAAGGCTATAGAACCTGATCTGTCCTGCTATTTACCCATAGCTGGGGGGAGAAGAAGAGGATTCATACCTTTGCCAAGGGTATTAGCATGTAAGTAATGTAATGGATTCGACTGGAATTCAAACTCAACTCTCCAATTCCTCAATCTGAGCTGCTATCCATTACTCCACCGTGCCTCCAAATTTTTTAAATGAGTGAAAAAAAAAAAAGTTTGCTGAATTAATATATATATATATATATATATATATATATATATATATATATATATAGCTGGCCACTCGTATTTGAGAATACCTGTCTATTGCAAACACATGCTCAGGTACATTTGTGTTTATTCAACACCCACAGAGCCAACCTGTGGTTTATACTGCAACTATGCTGAGAAGACCTTTGTTACAGTTTCTTGGAAAG